AGATCTTCTTGAAGAAATGTAAAATAAGGCACAATATTGTCTCCCTGAGATAGATAATGGTATCTTAAACTAGTTCCACCACCAGTATTACTTAATGCATTTAATAATTCACCATCTTTATCATAACAACATGTCTGACTGTTTGTCTGAGATCTAGAAAATAAATATGATTAATTCATTATCATTATAGTATAAGTGATCTTGTCTGAGATTTAGAAAATTATATCATTAATTCATTATCATAATAATATTATGTGACCTTGTCTGAGATCTAGAAAATAGATATGTGTATCATCAATTCATTATCTTTGTAGAATCTAGAATATTATCAATTCATTATTACTATAATATCAGTGGCTTTTCTGAGATCTAGAATATTATCAATTCATTATCATTATAATATCATTGGCTTTGTATGAGATCTAGAATATTATCAATTCATTATCATTATAATATAAGTGGCTTTGTATGAGATCTAGAATATTATCAATTCATTATTATTATATCAGTGGCTTTGTTTGAGATCTAGAAGACAAGTATCAATTCATTATCATTATAGCATATGTGAGTTTTGTATAAGATCTAGAATATCATTAATTCATTATCATTACAAAATAAGTGACCTTGTTTGAGATTTTAAATATCATAAATTCATTATCATTATAATATAAGCGACCTTGTATGAGATCTAGAAATTATCATCAATTCATTATCTAAATCTGAGATCTGACTTTATCTGAGATTTCAAATTATCCTAATTATTATCGAATTTATTAATGCTTTATCAATATATTTCACTGACTATGTGAGATGATATCATCAATGACATTAAACACTTCATTAAATATTTCTGTTCATGACTTTTCGAGTATTTGTACTAATCTTAATGTAATATAATGATACCAAAATGAATTCAATAAAACTATAGCTTTGATTGCTCAAACCAATTTCACAAAAACCATTCATAGAAAATTCACATGTACATTGTATTGAACTAGTCCAAGATCTCATCAATATAACCATGCATACAAAGTTTTAGATAAAATCACATGGTCTATATCACACACTATTATTACTATATGAAAGGAAATAATCACAATTTCAAAACACAGTTAATGCATCATATTTGACATAAAGTGATTATAAAAAAACAATATAAATTTGCCATTATATGATTTACAATATAGAATAGAGTCTTAATATAAACTGACACTTATTATATATAATATAACTTGACCTTCTTCAATAACAGATAAATCTCACTAATTTCATTTTTTTTTATACATATGACAGGATATATGATATGTAATATATATGTTGGCCACAGTCATATACATAATATACACTATTTCTTCAGCATTTGTTTGGTAGAAATAAATACTTGCTTGTATTGGATGCAATAAAAATGGCTTACAATATTATTTCAAATTTTAAGCCAAATAGAGAAATTTCTTCCTAGTTGCAAAACACTATTAACTCATTTCTACCAAAAGTATAAAAACTTGGAATTTTCTCTGTCTGACTTACTTGAACAGATTAATTCTGTAAAGTAAAGAGATTAAAAAAGCGAAGATTCCTGGAGATCAAATGAAACTTACCCCTGATAATTTGGTATGATACAGTTTCTAGCTTCAGGCTGATTATAAATACACTCAGAATTAGAAGATTGCTGATGACATAAGGGATATGGTTGATATCTACCAGTATCACCTTCTGCCTGACCAAACGTACATGGACATGGTTCCATATTGGTAATCACTGGCAAATCTGATTCTCTCGCTATCCATTTATTGCACTGTTTTTCAGAAAAGTCTTCACTTCTTTTTCTTACTGGAAACACATCTGACCAAATTGAATCCCTATAAAAGATAAGTATTTAAATACAAATCCTTTAATGTGCCACTAATCTTTTCAGTTCATGGATATTTAACTCCCAAGTAATATAGCTAACAGCGTATGACATTAACGTTGTGTGTCCTAACCTATATTGTAGATATATAATCATTTGGCTGTTAAAAGGGTTAATAATCCAATTAAGTTTTTTTTTCTAAAAGACACATTTTATCACATTAAAAAGGAATATAAATGGTGATAAAAAGATGCTACTACAGGGCTGAAGTACTTACAGATATATATCTTGACTTGATGATATTCTTAATACAGCTAATGTATCATCAATAGGTTTGTGTGGTGAATATTTCTGTTCGAATTTAGATGGATCAGGTATTTGTATTTTATCTCTTTGAATTTCTTTTAGCCTCTCCTATAAAATAAACAATATTATCTGTATAATTTAAGCACCTACTGTCATTGCCTAGAAAGGGATCACTTTGTTACATATAGCAAGTAAATGTAATGATAGTCAAGGATCAGAGTTTACACATAAATATATAAAGTATATAGAATGTTATAATAGAAATGCAAAGTACAAAAGATGGAAAAGTTATTACTTACTCCATCATAAGAATACAAGGTAATGTCAAAATCTCCGGACGGAATATTGTTGGTGTAATCTGTTATTTTGACAGTAGTGTTATTTCCAAACATCCACTCATTGGCATTTTCAAGTTTCACAATAGGTACATTGAAGATTAAATTTTCTGAAAAATAAATGTAAACACTCTCAATATTATACCAAAATAAAAACAAGTAACACTGGTTCTAGAAATTTACACTTGTTGAGTCAAATCTAGAAAAACAGTCCTAGAATTTTATTTTCAAACACCATGTCATGAAATCTAGAAATGAATGCCAGTAGAATCCAGATAGACAATGTTGATATTCAAATCTAGAAGTACAATGCCAGGTGCACTAGAAACACTGTGTCAAACTTGACATCTAGAGGGTTAACAGAGGATACATTCTAGAAACAAAATATCTGTCATTCAAATCTACAAAAACAAATATGTAGGCCTACAGTGAAATCTAGAATTACAATGTCAACAGTAAAATCTAGAAAAACACAACTCGAAGTGTCAACTTACCTACATGATAGCTACCAGTAAAATTCCAGCCTGTATTATTGATATTCAAAGAGAAATCTAATTTCCCTGTTCTAAATATGGGAGGAAATAGACATGATGCTATATTACTGTCCACTACACGACAGTCAAAAGTTTGATTTGTATTGTCTATACGGGCTGAAACATTATCATACATTGTAAAACAAGGATCTGTCACATTCACTACATTATAACCTAACATAGAGCCAGTGGATGGCAATAAATTCACTGATCCAGAACCTACAACAAATACAAATCAGTATATAAATAATGGCCGATGATTGAAATGGTCATATGTTATAATAAGTTAATTATTTATCATTATTAAAATAGTATTAAAAGGTATTCATGTAAACAAAACTAAGGTGAAATTATCAAAACAGTTTTCCAGAAAAAGGTTGAAGAAATGAAAACCATTATCACAATAATTTTTTAGACTAATTTCAGCTGCAAATATCATGACTATCATGTGTAGTGCAAGTAGGTTTTTTTTTTGAGAACCTCCAAGCAAACACAAAAGAAAAAACTGAATTCATTTGCTAAAATTGGTGAAGCTCATTTGGGATTTACCAAATTAAGAAGTCATAAAATGACTGAAGAGAATTTTGTATAATTTTCTACAGCTGAAATGTGTCTTAATCAAAATAAATTACCTTCTCCATTAGTTGGTAAATTGTAACAATGTTTCACAAAGCGTTTAAATATTCTTTCTCTAAAAGACCACAAATGGAATTGAGGCCTTCCTATAGTAAAATGAGGCACCTTCTCTTAATCTGTTAATCAATTTCATTAATTTAATCTTTTTATTTAAAGAGTTCCATTTTAGAAATAAATTGAATTGGAATTATTAAATGTTTTCAATCTGTTATTAATCTAATGATCAAACTTATTAAATACTACTACCAGAGAACAATACAATTTGTAGAAAAAAATGATCACACAATTCATCTGAATGACACATAGTTTTATCTGTATCATATTATAGTACACCAAAACCAGAAAATTGACATAGTTTATGGCGTAATATATCAGGGCTACTAGAGAGACAGATTTCTTACCAGACCTTTTAAGCATTATAGTAAGTAGACAGTTCCCTGACTCTATTTAAAAGTAGGCCTAATGTAACAGTCAGTTACAAGGCACCGAAAAAATCTACTAAAAGAAAAGATAAGGCATTAAGTTACCATTCATAGCTTGAATTTAGAAAAGCTTTCTTCATTTTATTTCAATAATTTTCAGAATTAAGCAAATCTAATCATAAAAGGTTAAAAGCAGGTGCTTCCATTTTTTCCCCAAGTGTGGTCTTTTAAATAAAGAAAACGTGCACATAGGACAGATACAATTTGTGTAAAAATTATCAAGCATTTTCAAAAAGTGAAGGGGCACAATTTAGCTTTTAAAAATTATCAATTGAAAGATGCATTCATCTTTTCACATATTGCCCTCTATGGAAAATTTTTGCCAATCATTCGTGATTATAAATAAATAATTAGCCATAATTTTGAATGTTAATTTTGAAGACTAAAGGGAGATAACTTGTGGCAAACCAATGATACGGCCAGGTAGTTACTTGATAAATTTTACACTTTCAATATAGACTGATGACATCATACTGAATTGATTATTCATTAGTCATTGAATGTCACCAATCTTTATTCAACAAAGAGAATTCAGAAAAATATATTCAATGACAATATTTCAAGGGTCATGAAAATATATTTCAAATCTAAGTACATCCTCTGGCATCAAAAACTTCAAAAAGAAAATAGAAATCTAGCTTTCACCATTTCAGAAAACACATAATTTAGGTTTTAGTTTGTTGGTAAACTATATATTTATATCAATCGGGTTCGAAAGAAATAATTTCTGTGGTTCTTGTAATTCAAAATATTTTGGAATTCATTTTAGAAATCTACTAAATCTCTGTTGAAACTTTCTTATCATTGACAATTTGGTTCTTTTTCTTGATGAAAGTAGTGCCAGAGGATTGTAATATAATCATGAGGAATTTTTCTTTATTTTCAGAATTAATTCTTGTTCCGTTAATTTTATTCCTGAAAGTTTACCTGTATTGGAACAGACTCCTTGAATCTGAGCAGAATCTACTTTGAAAAACCATTTGCCAGGAATATTAACATTACTAGTTAAAGTTAGATTAATAACTGTATCTTTTCTTGCTCCATCAATTTCATAATATGTCTTCTTATCACCAGCATTAAAACCAGCCTGTTAAAGTAGAGAGTTGAAAATTTAAAATACTGAGTCAATCATTACAGTGATGTCAGACAAAAATATCCAAAACAATTCTTATTAGTTATTATAGGATAAACTTCAGTATAGTTACTTTCATGTCATAACCAAGGGGTCAACTTTTAGCCCAATACCATCATAAATGCCATCTCATTTACTAAAATTTGCCCATTAATTTGAGATTAAGACTCTAGTATTTGAGAGAGTATTTTAGAATAAGGTCATAGCTAGGTTAATACATTTACCTTGGTCATAACATTTTCTCTATAACCAAACTGAAATCTATCAGTAATTAAAAATGGTAGAACATGTTGCTTCATAGTGTAATATTCATGATTGATAGAAACTTTATTAAGTATACTAAAATTATTGAGATTGCAAGTCACATTATTAATGTTCTCAGTTTGTGTACCTAAATATAAAATACAGATAACTTTCAATTTTTACATGTTATACCATTTTTAACTTTCTGAAAAAAAGTTTGAAAGTTTTGGATATTTTGCTCTGCATCAATTTATACACAAGACAATATAAAGCAGCAATAAGCAAGGGTGGGTGGTTAGGCATATGTAAATAATAAAGCACTGCACACAAGACTGGCTTGGGAGTTTATATTCCTGGAGAACTTGTTCTGAAATTTTTGCATTTAAACAAAATCATTCAAAATTCTGGTATTATTGTTCAATTGTAACATCAATCTCAATATAAACTCTCAATATACATAACAATAACATACGGTTCATATTTTCATTATCTAATTAATAAATAATTAGTCATCTCATTAGTACAATTAATTAATTATCTATGTGAATTGATAGATGACATTCATTATAAAATTTATTTCTAAGCAACTGTTCTATATAGAGACTCCAAGTTTCAAATTGCACAAGTAGTCTTATCTAGATCACCAAAACCAACATCTACCGTAACTAGGAGATTAAACTAGCCATCTAGGGTGAAATGATATTGTCACATGAGCCATATTATAATATTTAGTACTTAATGACTAAATTACTATACTAATAAATATGAATACATCATATCACTCATGGTTATAGAAAATTTTCATGATTTTGGTATTAAAATTCACAATGACTGTTCAGTGAAAGTAATTACTTTTGTTAATCATTTGACTAAAATAAAATTTTAAGTAATTGTGCTAGTATACAACATAAAAAAATAACAGAAACACTCAAAAAATGAAAAATAAAAAAGTAGAAAAAAGTATTTCGAGAATACAGTGGACTGTGATTATTTGTGTGGAACAAAGGCAAAATAATAAAGAGCAAAAAAAGGTGTCATATACAATATCAAAGCTCTTTAAGAAGCTCAATGATAGAAACTAGTCCAATGATTTAAAAAATCAGAACAGTCAATAATAATCAGTAAGACAGATGACAGTTAAAGAATAGATTGACAATAAAACAATCCTTCATGGCATAATGGTGTATTTCCTATTCACCGAAATCATGTAGCAGCCAAATGGTCTTTCTTCATTCTAAATAATGAAAATAACAGTTTAACAAAAAAATACCCCAACATCATGCAAAAGCTATTTGTTTTTGGTGTATTTTGAGAAATGCTGATAATATAGATTGATGTGCTTTGAAGTGATGTTGCCTAAAAACTAAAATATAGATCATATATACAGCACAATTGCAAAAGACTAAGACTAATAACCTAATGATAAACTAGTTCTACTAGGCTTTCAAGAGATTGGGTATTGCATATGACACACTACGACATTTTTCAAACTACAATTCTCAAGACTTGCTCATTTTTCTAACCATAACATCAATCAAATGAAGATCCACTAAATTTCATCAAATCAAATGCCTTGAGTTGTCTAGTATTTCAAGGAATTCCTTAATTCTTTTCACTTCTCCAAACAATATAATAAATTTACTTGATGCTTATGTAGCTTTCATTTTTATACATCATCAAAATGGCAGTTTGAAAAATGTCTCTTTTGTCTCATGTTCCACTATTGCTTGCAAAGCAAAATTTAGACCACCATATCTCTCTACCTTCCATACCTGGGCAGGGTTACCCCCAAGACCAGTGGTTGTATCCCCGCCACTGTTGGAACCAGTTGTCCAGTCTATCCTCTGGTAGTTAAATATCACAAACGATTCTTTGCCATTTGTTATAAGTACAGCTTGGAATGTATTAGTCTGAAAATATAAGACACTCAGTAAACATGTGGACAGTTTTAACATAGCATACCACCAAAAATCACTTCCTTCACTCTATTATTGTATGAAATAGTTTATCTCTTTATTCTTTTCAATGCATTTTTTGTGATTCCTGACCCATTTGTGCATCATGCATTTCAAATGTTGTGAAAATACACAATGCTCAATATTATATAATATACTCCACTGTAACTACTACTATTTTTTGTTTTTAGAAAACTACTTCATTTTACATAAATAAAGCACATCTAAACCATCCCTTGAAATAAAATAAAAAAATCCAAATATCAACCAATTAATTACTAAAAAATTACCACTTGCATTTACTAATTTTACCCTTTTCCATATGCTTACACCACCAAAACACAACCTTTCCAATTTCTTCCAAGTCCATCAAGCATCACATAAGTGAGTATTTTCTTATATCTTATAATAGCTTTGAAATGGAACAGCAATGAATGCGTTGATGTTCCCCAAACCCCTAGTATTGTTGTAGTACTGTAAATGGTTCAGCAATACTTTTAATTGAAACTTGGCCAGGGTATTTTAAAACGTAGGAAAGGTTGAACATTTACCTTATTTTCACCAGCCCCTGATGCCCCATAAAAACAAACTCTATCCCACGTAGCCACAAACATCCATGTAGCTTTAAATTTACGAGCTTTAGGATAATAACGCTGAACTTCTTTAGTAGCTATATTTAAAGTTTGTGGATTTGTTTCCTCCCGATACCACACTTGTCCACCTTCAGTCACATCTACGTCTGCCCAAAAGGGCGCGATTATTGGAGTTGCATCTTGTAATGGAAAGTCGTCAGGTCGATACACTTTTAGTTCTTTTAGAAATGATATGACACCATTATTATTCACCTGAAAATAGAAAATAAAGAGTTATAAGTCTGTGAGCTATTGTGAAATCTAACAATTTGAATCTTTTCAGGTCCAAGAACGTTCAAGGTTATTAATTCTGTATATTCAGGTTGAGTTAGGTTAGTTGGAACTGTGGATCAGAATGATATATAAGTATCAGTTTGATGCGCATGTAAAATGCAACAGATTTTCAAAACCTTTCGAAATTTCGCATCTTTGACCTTGAAAACAATATATAAGTCTTGCACGTTCCGTGATTTTTAGCGTTGCTAGAGAAATATAAATCTGCTGTGGAAAAACCATTGGGAAGAAAGCTACTTTACCCAAATGAGAATTGAATAAATTAGTTTTTTAATTGACGATTTGTTGAAGTAGGCACCTATTAAATTTCTACCACTTCAAAGAATGAAGCGTTAGATAATAAGTAGACGATGTATGGGGGTTGACCAACGCAAGGATTTCAAGTAGAGAACACCACTTGTCATATCGTTTACAGATTAAAATTTTATCTTCATCTCTTGAATATCTCACAACACTGTGAAACAAGATAAAATACATGTAAAATACGGTATACGATCCGTCATAGATTGACTGACTGCAAACATTCATAACAGATCTTTGGAAGCTTACAGATCTACTCAATATAGTAATGGCTACGTTTCAGACAGATGTTTCTTTTTAAATAAACATTGATGGAAAAATTTCCGCAGATCACTTATGTAGTATTAGAACTGTAGTGTTTCCTGAAACAAAACGATATCAGTATGTTCTTACAGGGTGTCCCCGGTTATTTCTAATATTCTTATTTAAGGGCAGCTACATTTACACTTTAACACATCGTGATCCTCGTAAATAATATTAATAAAAAAAACTTAAATATAGAATATCATGAGTGATGAATTCAATAAATATTCGAGAACGAATAAGCTCATTTTGGATCCGGGTTTGTTTCGAAATTTTATTTCATCCCCCCAGCCACAAACTAAAAGTTTTGATTTTTCATTTGTGATGGCTTGTCTCCAGTATTGTTCACACACTACTTTGAATCCTGATTAATGATTAGGATTCCTGATTTTTTTTATTAAAAAGAAAAAGTACTGATAGTCGTGCATTCCTCCAGCTGCGCATTTTCAGTGGAATATAAGAATTTAATTGAAAGAAAGATATATATGCAGTTTGAGTTGACGTGGCACATAATACAGTATTTTGGTAATTCATGTTTATGATAAATAATATCCATAGTTAAAATGTGCAATCATTTGGGGTTGCTTTCATAACGCAGGAGGATGCCCACAAACAACAATGACTGTTTGGAAACTTAAGAAGAAGTCCTGCTGAAATAAAATAATCATACCGGACATATGTCAAACAATCATTAATATAAAAAATATCACTTTGAAAGATTTAATAAAGTAATTCAATAACAAGGAAGACAAGTGCAGTATCAAATAACATGTTTCAGTAACTCGTCTACCTGTCTACCAAACTATACACCTTTATAATTACTCTTAATATTTCTTAGATCTATTTATTCACAATGTCAAGTTTTCTAGGTTAACTTTCGACACACCCAATGTTATAACTTATGCAACCTCGACCTACACGACATTGCATTAGTTTAGATCAATTTCTCGATCTACCACACTTTCAAGGTCGTAAATACAATTCCAGTTCCTTTTCTATGATATTAAAACTAGAATATAATTAAATGGGAAAGGCATTATACAAGCTACCCCTTTTTAAACAAAATTTTACGTAACCCCTGCAGTTAAACCGAATGTTATATTTATATTTTATACATTAAGGCCCTGCAATTAAGGCCCATATCAGGCATGCAATGTCTCCAGCATCTGCAGATTATGAGGAATGGTTGTGGGTCCTGCCCAGGTGGTTATCTAAGCTATATCACGAGTTATTCCAATGAGAAAGGCAAGTTATAATGTATAGGCTATTTGATAGGTATCGTGGCATCAAATGTAATTTTTACTAATAACATGCTATCTTTCAAATTTCGGATATTCAATTCATATAGTGGGTCATATCCCATTTTAAGATATATGTAGGCTTAATTCTCATTTGCAGGCTCATGTTATTTGCATTCTAATATCCGCAATCAAAGTTTGAAAGGAAAACTCTTCATATGGTATTGTTTACAGACGTTCCATAATCTTGAAATTGTACACATGGCGTTATCGTAAATATAAGCTTCAACTATAACAAAAACGATATTCCAAACCATTATATGACGTATTTTCTGACGTTAGAGGGGTATTTCCAGAAAGAAAACAACTGTTGTAAGATGTTCTATTTCTGTCGACTTACTGCCATTCTGGCTAAAACTATACTTAGATGATAAAATATGCTTGATTATACAGATAACATCTTTACTGCAGTTAGTGAGTACATTTACAGATTCCTGGCATTCTCATGAAAGGTTCAGTCTTCTTGCCTTTATTCTTTGTGGCATTGCATTCAAGACACACCTAGTGCAGACGTCATTGAGTTGGAAAATACCTATAAATCAAAGAAGTAAACACTGTAAAAATACTTTTTTGAAACTAAAAGAATAGATAATTAAATCCCTTTTCCAATTTCATAAATATATGAAATTTATGTTCCAATATTCTAAATGAACGTTGCTGTATTTGTATATGAAATATGTATATCAATTGTCATGAATATGAATTATATTATATAAACTTAACTATATATTTGACAATCAGATATATAAAAAAAGGTATGTTATGTTTATTTTGACAATGTTACAAACAATAATATATTCTTCTGATGTCTATATCCAGATGATTAAAATATTTATGTGATCTGATAATAAAACCACAACAACACACGCTGTTTATTTTATTTCTGTAACAGTTCAAGGGTATTGTTTTAAGTTAAAAAAAAAGCCCACATTCGTCTTATTTCTTTTACAATGTCAAATGCGGAGAAACAATAAACGTAACATTTGCCAACTCGAAAATGAAACGAATTGTCGATTGTATATGGGTCTCTATTGGAAAATGTGGTTATCATATATTACAATAGAATTAAAAACTACCTTTCTAGCAAAAGGTTACTGAAATTAAGTATCAGATGAACAGTCAGAACACATTCCTTTATTGGTAACTGTTCATGTTTCTTTATTTATCAAAATAACGTGCATCATTGACGATAAGAATCTGAACAAAAGCATTAAACTTTGACGTCTTGGCTGTAAATTGCTTATGACAAGCATTTCAATGATTTTACTACATAATTTTAATGTAAGTTATAAAGGTACAAGTAATGAATGCTTTTAATTTTCTAATTACTATCAATACATTTGATTGAAATCGTAAGACTAGCTGTACCAGTATCTCTGGACCAGAAAATATTGGAAACGCCCAAAAGAAAAAAAAATGAAAACCACAAGATTATTCTTCTCATTGAATATAGAATCTTTTATAAGTGTTAGAGTTATTTTAGGTTATTTACACTAACGTAGATCTGTTGATGATTTGAGAACAGATGTGTTGTGAAGGTTGAAAAAGGAAACATAATGAGTCTAGATTACGTTGAATTTCCTTTTCCAAATAAACACAGCCTTTTGTTTACTTGTTGGTTTAAATTATGCAATTTGAACATACGTCTTGGATCAAATTAGATTAGCTTTGTTGGTTTTAGTCAGTGCTTTGTGTTTCCATTAGACAATTCCTCAACTGTTTCAAAAAATTTTAAACTGATTGGATTATTTCATTCAATCGCGTTTATCTTTCAATGCATGACGAAGTGACAAAATGGGATTTAATTATGTATTTTCAATACTAAAGAATATAGCAAAATGACAGAATATTTAAATTTGTCTGATTCAGTGACTCACAGTATGCATACGAAATATTTAAAAATATCATTACAAGATTTAGACTTCAAAAGAGCTGACATTTATGAAGGTGGTGTGTAACATGTGTCATTTAGACGCCAGACGTCAGCTTGTCGACTGAAATGGTATTTATGTTGGATCATTTGCAATTTCGACTAACATCATTATGTAACTTTTTAGAATTTTTTTTTCAACAGAAAAGTTTGGTAAGCTGTATTTTACCATGGTGATTGAAAAGGCTTTGAATGATGGCAAAACTGGTTAGAGAAAATAGATTACAGTATCACTTTTTGTATTATCACTCCCGAGTACATGTATCATAATGTTTTTTATCTTCTTGTGGAAGAGAGCTATATACGCGTGAACAGTGAATGCTATCAGATGTTAAAACAGGGATATTTTCCTAACCAAAGAATCGTCTATGAAACAAAAGGCATATCAGCAATTGTACCTTATGTGCACTATCTCATTTCGTGGGTATATTTGTTGTATTAAGACGCCGGATTTAACTTCTCCACTTTCTCTAAGAAGTTCAGAAATATGCCGCCAAAATTTGATATCTTTATCATGCATTGGCCACAACAAACTGTAACACAGCGTGATGCAATCAACCGGGGGGAATTGTAAACATGAATGAAAATTAATACACAAGAGATGGGGTTTAGAGAAAAAAAACATAGAATCTTTACAGCTGTTGAATAAATAGAAATTGAAACTGACGGTCAGATGATTCTAGATAACATTTATACAAATATGTAATAGGGAAGGTTTAGAAAGGCAGCCCTGCTTTACTATAAGTACATGCTAGTATTCCTCCGTTTAAAATATTGGTTCGCTATAAATATTTTGTACGTTCTTAGCTTATAAAAATAATTGAAAAAGGCAAAAATAATGATAAATACTTTTAAAATAACTGATTTTTTAGGAATCTCTAAAGTGGAATATATTAAAAGTAACGTGTATAAACAATGCAATGTTTATGACACGTCTGCTGACAACAACGTAAGGTCGTTAAACTGGTAAATAAGCACTATATATATCTTATTCCAGAGAAAAATTCTGACACCTCAAATAGTTCATTTGTTGTGTTTATATTTTGTTCTTTTATAAAAATCAGATTCCTCTACTATTGGAGCGTTAA